ACATTCAAAGGGTTCAACACCAAAACAAAGCCTCCCACGGAGCAACTTATTTTTTCCTGTAATGCATTTTCAATATCTTTACTTGCTTTCCTAGGAGTAGTGTTAGGTTGTAAGGAAAATCCATTCATCAATATATCATACGACCCTTGATTTTCAAGGCGCCGGAGCACCATCCTTGTTGTTCGTTCACTCACCCCATATATCACACGACCGCTGCTTCCTGAGCAGCGCGCCGGAGCACCGCCCAAAACCCACCACCAACACCATCACTCAACGGCCTTGTAGTTCAGGTCGTGGACCTAACAGCCGAGACCAGTTCCTCTCTCGGCTACAATCGTTTGATTAAGAAGACGAATTCAAACAGGCGCACCACTTATCCATCCAACACTCATCAACACATCGACACACGGTAGACCGTGCTGGCACGCCTGCGCACAACCGCACCGCACTCAAAAGCAGGAAACCGCGTGTTAACGCATATCCCCTCGGCCCGGAACTCCAGGCCGTGAGATTTGCGCGGCAGACAATGTTCAACATGCATGTCACGTGAAATTATTGACGACATTGAGGATGAAACCTCACAAAATCTAACGGCATGTGCTAAATTGACGATTTAAATTAGATCGGGTGTTGAATTGGCTAATGTTTTTAGTTAAGGGGGTTATGTTCGATAAGGGTACGAGTTGAGGGGATATTTTGGAGATTTTTTCATTTATTTTTACCTGGGGTGGAAAATACTATCACCAAACCAGAAGATCTAGAAAGAGAAGGCAGTGCGAGAGAAAAGGGGGAAAAAAGGGCGATTGATGCGAAATGGAGAGATATAGAGAGATGAAGGTGTTGACAAAGAGAGGGGAAAAAGAAGAAGACGCTCATAAAGAGATGTGACAATTACCCTCCATTTGAATGAAGGAATTGAAAATTGCATAGAATTTTAAAATGGCGGAAGTTAGATATCCGTTATTCAAATTTCTGGCAATTAATAATTTTAGTGTTTGGACTTAAGTATGTTGAATTTTAGAAAAGACATAAATTACATGGAAAAACGAATTCCAGCTCTATTAGAAATTGTGAAATGACGCATCTTTTTTTTATTTATATTTTTGGTTCTAAGGGAGCCGAAGCTTAGAAAAACTACATAAATAAACTTATGGGTCTAGCAACTCCACTCAAATATTCTAGTAGATAATGTCCAAATCCTTCAGGCACAACCTCCCAAATTCTAGTTTTGAGCCTAGAGCTTCCAAGCTATCCACATGGCAATTTCCTTTTATTTATTTATGAGTAATACTGTAGTCTTTGTACAAAAGCATCTTTTGGCAGCTAGTCACCAAAATGTAATAGTGATGCTCTTCTTCCAAATATGAAAACAACGTTTGCATAAAAATTTGGGAATCAGATTTAATATCAAGTGGGTGTAAGCATTTACTATATGCAAAATAGTCTTGAACCAATTTAGCACTCAAACCACACCTTAACACAAATTTGACAATTAAACAATAGAATGATTAGAGATAAGACTTACTTGAATTAGCCATAATCAGATATACAAGATGATCTTCTCCTCTCAGTATTCCAAAATGTCAAGGCTTTCAATAGGACAAGCATGCAGAATATGAACGTGTGAATATGAGAGCAGAGACCAAGCCTTTTATACAAGTTTCTTTACAATTGACTCTCCTATTAAGAGACAACTTATAGCCAAAACATGGAGATAATGGATGATATCCACCTCTTGTAACAGTTATTCCATTTAATCATTATCTGAATAAAAGTCTCATAATATCTTAATTTAAATATAACTCTATTTATTATTTATATGACTACACCTCATAATAATGAAAGGGTACTGATTTTCCCACTCTCTTTTTATCCACTTACACTCCATTTTTCTAAATAAAAAGGAGTGTAGGTGGATAAAAGGGGAGTGGGAAAATCATTTCCCTAATGAAAAGGCAAACTCACAAAATATATGGAAAAACTTACATTCTCCCACATGAGTGTAGCCAATTCATCAAACAAAAAGTATCATATTGAATAATCAATAGTGATCATTGAGTTATATGAAATTATAGATGACTTTTGGCAACTAACCATATTGATATAAAGAGCTGAACTTTAGAAAACTTGACACACTTAAATTGTACCAGCACTCTAAAATCACAAACTAATCATATCATAATGTAAATGTTGCATACATGGAATAAGAAGTGCGAGTCTCGGTACCATGGGACTCCCAAATTTCGTTGGTCATATGATGTCATGAACATCATTCCATTTCAACATAACTTTGCAAAGACCTCATAAACACAACACTAAAACCAGAAAAATATTAAAATATTCAAAGGTGAAGTATTGCCTTACTCCCACCTTCAAAACAGATAAATCGAAGCTTGTAGATCAATTTTTGGCACTAGTCTTTGAAATGCAGTCACATGCAAAGCTTTTGTTAAAGGATTTGCTATCATATGTAAAGTGCCGAGATGTTCAATATCAACAACTCCATCTCTGACCTTGTCCTGAAGCGTCAAGTACTTGATATCCAACAGCCTTGAAGCATCAGACCTTTTATTGTTTTTGGCAAAGAACACAGCTGAACTATTATCACAACATAGCTTCAATGGCCTCTCTATACTCTTGACAATTTTCATACTGTGAATCAAATTCTTTAACCAAACACATTGCTTTGCAGCTTCAAAGCATCCAATATATTCATATTCCATTGTAGACACTGATCTGGTAGTTTGCTTCTTACTTCTCCATGAAACTGCACCACTAGCTATAAGGTAAACATATAGCCACTTGTTGACATTCTATCATCAACACAGCCTCCCAAATCAGCATCTGAATAGCAAACTAAATCAAGTGAATCCACATAATGATAACACAGCACATATGATTTAGTCTTTTGCAAATATCTAAGAACCTTTTTGCTTGCATTCCAATGAGCAATAACGGGATTTGATTGAAACCTTCCCAGTACACTTAGTGCAAATGCCAAGTCTGGTCTAGTACAAACTTGAGCATACGTCACACTACCTGCCAAGGAAGCATAAGGCTTATCTTTCATAGTCTCAATTTCAAAATCTGTCACAGGACATTGATGAGTGGAAAATTTATCACCCTTACCAATGGGAACATCACCACCACTACAACTTTCCATGTTGAACCTCTTAAGAACTCTGTCAATATAATTGTTCTGAGATAACCCCAAAACTCTTCTTGACCTATCTTTAACAATCTCAATGCCCAAAACAAAGTGAGCCTCACCTAAATCCTTCATATCAAAACTACTAGAGAGCATACTCTTAGTATCTTGAAGCAATTGAACATTTGAACTTGACAAGAGTATATCGTCTATGTAAAGAACCAGAAAAATAAAATTGGACTTCACCATTTTCATGTAGATGTAATTATCAAATCTGTTTTCAACAAAGCAAATGAAGTCACAACCTGATCAAACCTTAAATACCACTGTCGAGAAGCCTGTTTAAGTCCATATATAGACTTATTTAACTTACACACAAAGTTCTCTTTCCCCCTTTCAATGAATCTTGGTAGTTGCTTCATGAAAATATCTTCTTTGAGAAAACCATTGAGGAAA